TTTTTATTTTTTTTTTGAGACGGAGTCTCGCTCTGTCGCCCAGGCTGGAGTGCAGTGGCGCGATCTCGGCTAACCGCAAGCTCCGCCTGCCGGGTTTATGCCATTCTCCTGCCTCAGCCTCCCGAGTAGCTGGGACTATACCGGCTAATTTTTTGTATTTTTAGTAGACATGGGGTTTCACTGCGTTAGCCAGGATGATCTCGATCTCCTGACCTCGTGATCTGCCCGCCTTGGCCTCCCAAAGTGCTGGGATTACAGGTGTGAGCCACCGCGCCCGGCCAGAAAGCACCTTTTAATCTCTACCACTGCCAAGTTTGTGAGTAGACTGCAAAGACCGTGGGCTTCAGAATCAAGTAGCCATGGATAAAAATTGTGTCTGAGAGACTTTCAAGGAGTTACTTAGCCTTTCTGAGCTTTTTGCTCCGTGATGAGTATAGCAGTGATAATAACATCAACCCTACAATATTACGTTATGGAATTAAATGTCGGTGAAAGTGTCTTGCTCGTTGCTCAGTAATGATTCATGTCCCCCCTTCCCTTCTTAATTCAGATTTATTTACATATGTTCAATAGAGCCATAAATATTTGTGATTCCGTTTTTCTAGTACCTGGTTCTAGTTATTTCAGGTTTTTATACAGGCACAAAAGCCCTTTTCCTCTACACTGGTTTCCCTAAGAGGAGTTACCTTGACCTAAAAAATAAGGAAAGCACCAACCATAAAACCCTGCTTTTCTTGGTCAGTGAGGTGCATTTTAAAAAATAAACATTCTACATAAGCTGTTATTCTGGAAAACTGGAATTTCACTGGCAATCCCTGATCCATTTATGCACACCAGCTAGGCAGAAGCTGGTAATATGAAAGTAGAGCTGAGTCAGAATCAGAATTGGTGACTGGGATGAGGGGCGGAAGACAACTACAGATACAAGAACCAGGAAAATGAACTGCTTAACGCTGATTAACGGCCATGCTTGTCACACTCATTAAAAGCATTAACTCCTGATTTAAGTTATTTTAAAAATATATTTATGCTAATGTGCTAAAGTTTTTGTACTAACAAAATCAATTTTCATCTTTCTGGAATATTTCAGGGCCAAGGTAATGCTAAAAGTTTTTAGAAAGGGGCTAAAGAAAGGGAGCTCAGGCCTGACAGTCTCAGGATACAGGATGAATGGAAAATGGGGGGAGCTGAACGAGCAGAGACTGCAAAGGTTGGGACCAGGGTGTAAGCATGGGGTTCACGTTCACAGTCCCATTATTAACAACCCTGAGCAGTACCACTGCTGCCCAAGTAATCAGGAAAGGTCCGGGCCAAAAATGCAAATCCTTCTTTTTTTCCCAGACCTGGAATTCCCATTCAACTGATTTGCTGGAAAAATAAAGTTTCATTTTACATCGTCACAGTGATTTTCTTGAGAATATAATGCCAAGAGTACAGTTTCAAGATCATCTTGTTGTCTAACTCCTGGTTCCTTATAAATAAATAAGTAAGAACTGCTGAACTACTAAGAGCAAAGGCAGCCACTAGACTCCTGGAAGTTACCGTTAACAACAACAACAACAGAAACAAAAAACTGTCCCCCAGGCATTTCTCTGTTGCACTGAAAGAAAGAAATACTCCCAAGGGAAATAGAAACCTAAAAACCTTGGAAAATAATTCTATTTTAACACAGACCAATTACTAAATAGAGAATTAATCAAAGGAACAAAGTATTTTCCTAAAACAAAGAAACAAAACCTGGATTTAGGTGAATTGGTATTTATTCAGAATGATTTTTAATGTTGTTATTCTAAAACTTCCAAAAATTCCCTCTGGTATAGGAGTCGTTGAAATAGTTGTAGATCATGGTATAGTTGGTGAGGGGTTGCTGGGTTTTATTTAAAGTGCTATTCAAAACTTAACATATAGGTTTCATTCAAAGTTTAAGAAGAAAGAAATGAACAACCAGAAACAAGGGTAAGATGTGGGGATATGGATAGATATTTTATACTTAAGACTTCTGCATCCCAAAATATCAGCTTGTGATGGAATTCTGTCATCTATTCTTGCTTCAGTCAAAACAAACAAACAAAAACAGTCAAAACAGTATGAACGATAATCATGTAGTGCCACCAAAAGCTTTTCATTCATTCAGCGAGCATTGAGTCCCTAGCTGGAGATGCAAAGAGGAGCAAGAAATATCCTCTTCCACTGAGAAGCTCATTGTCTAATGTAGAATGTAGATAAGCAACCAGACATTCAGAATGACCTGTGTTACGAGCAATAATAAAGCTGGACACTGGGTACTATGGGGGCACTTGGGAAGGGTGCCTAAGCCAGAGAGCTTCACTGGGGAGCCTTGATGTCTGAGTAAGAATTAACCAGGCGAAGCAGAAGGTGAAATAAGCTCTAGGAACAAACAGAGAGTTTCGAGTGCAAAGGCAGGCAGAGTGTGAGGAGGGGAGGCCTTACTTCTTTGTGACTGCAGCATGAAAGTAAGGGGAGGGCTGGATGTCCTAATTAATCTTGAATTAGCAAATAATAAGTATTACTTTTCTCTATTTTTTAAAAAAACTTAGTTCCTTAATTGCACCCAAAATTTATCTGTTGAGATAAAGTAACTTCATTCCTAGTTCTAATTAGTTGCTTAAATAATTGTTATCCTTGGAGAGCAGTAAATGACACATGGACATTAAAAATTTTGTACAAATGTCAGTTGCAGTTTGTTCATAAATCATGTAACAATTACCTGCCTTGTCTGATTAACATATACTTGAGGGAGGATGGAAAGTGCCGAATGTCTGAAGGTAAATCAACTCTTCCTCTGGGAGGTGAGTTTATTCTTTTTTGAAACCTAGGGGTATTTAGTGTCTGGACACAGTTTGGGAGGAAGTGGTATGGAGTACCTAGAGAAGCCCTTCTCTATGGGTGAACTCTTACTTCTTTTCTTTTCTTTTCTTTTCTTTTCTTTTCTTTTCTTTTTTTTTGAGACAAAGTTTTGCTCTTGTTGCCCAGGCTGGGGTGCAATGGTGCAATCTCAGTTCACTGCAACCTCCACCTCCTGGATTCAAGTGATTCTACTGCCTCAGCCTCCCAAGTAGCTGAGATTACAGGCATGTGCCACCACGCCTAGCTAATTTTTTGTATTTAGTAGAGACGGGGTTTCATCATGTTGGTCAGGCTGGTGTCGAACTCCTGACCTCAGGTGATCCACACACCTTGGCCTCCCAAAGTGCTGGGATTACAGGCGTAAGCCACCACACCTGGCCTCTTACTTCTTTTCTCTGATGTACTCTCGGGCTCTTTTACTACCTCAAACTGCACTATGACCTGTCAGGTGTTAGAGAGATCAGCAGTGGAGAAGGTCCAGGAAACAGTCTGGAATCAAAAGGGGTCTGCCTCTCTCCTGGACATATCAAATATGAAAGCATCACATTTACCAAGAGACAACACCATAAGAGGGTAACTGACAGAAACCAATTCCATCCTGAAAATGCTCTGAGGCTTTAAACATACTTTATTGTCTAGACTTTGGGCCTCAGAGTACACCTGCTTTTTCTCCCACTATCCTGATGAACTCTGAACTCTAAAATTTTTCTCTGTACCAATTTAGCAAACCTCCATTTATTAGCAACTTTAACCTCCAGATCCTTTAGATGACTTTCATTCTTCTTTGTCCTGGATATTTTTACATGACAGACAAAAATATCTCTTCTCAGAGCTGGAGGAGATAAAAATATTTGCCCTGAAGGGAACAAACTCTTGATTTAGCTAAAACTTTTTAAAGAGTTTATATTAAATATAAATACAGTATCATATAAAATTATAATGTGACAAATTCATTGTGAAATAGTCCATCTTTCTGTTGTAATACTTTTTATGTAGCTTTTTTGTTTTTTGGTTTTTTTTAAAGGTAAGTTTAGTAAAATGGAGCAGTAGAATAAATAAGCAGAAAACAAACTTAGAATAAGACCTGAGCTGTGTCCTAAGATGAAAGTGGTTTCTGCTGGTTGGCAAGAAGAGAAAAATCCTAGACATTATTTCTCTTGCATCATAGGACAGTAAGGAAAGTGTGTCTCAGTCAAATAAGTCAAGAGACTGTCACCTTCTGCTAGATATTGGAGCAATTCTTATTCTTCATCAGTTCTTCCCCCCACCCCCTTTTTTTTTTTTTTGGACAGAGTTTCCCTCTTGTTGCCCAGGTTGGAGTGCAATGGCACAATCTCGGCTCATTGCAACCTTTGCCTCCCAGGTTCAAGCGATTCTCCCTAGGTTCAAGTGATTCTCCTGCCTCAGCCTCCCAAGTAGCTGGCACCTGTTACCATACCCAGCTAATCTTTGTATTTTTAGTAGAGATGGGGTTTCGCCATGTTGGCCAGGCTGGTCTCGAACTCCTGGCCTCAAGTGATCCACTAGCCTCAGCTTCCCAAAGTCCTGGGATTACAGGCGTGAGCCACTGTGCCCAGTCACTAGTTCTTTTTTACAAATCATTTGATTAAGTGATGTTAAACACTCCCTAGTACTGCAATAAGTGTTTTATATAACTATTCAACTTCACAACTGTAAAATGGGCCCATTTTACAAAAGAAGGACCTGGGGGTCAGAGAGGGCAAGGAAGTTGCTCAAAGTCACACAGGTAGTTACTGGTGGAGCTATGCCAGACTCATGTCAGTCTGAACTGAAAATTTTTCTTCTGAACTTTTATTCTATACATTCTACTTGCTTTATCTAGTAACAATGCTAAGTTCACTAAGATCTGAGAAACCACTTCTATGTATAGTATTCCCAAGTACCTCATACAATCCTACACAATTCCACAAAATGTTTAAGAATTTTCTATCCCCTTTCTCTTTTAGCAATATATTCCCCACCAGAACTAGCAGACAAGGTAGCTAAGGCTAGCACCGTTTCAAAACATTTGCTTCAAAAGTGTTTCACTTCATCATCTCATTAACAGCTACAAAGAATCAAAGAGAACAACATTCTACCCGCCCCTTGATCCCTTTATTAGACCAACTTACTCAAGGGAATCAATGATTTTTTTTGGCTCCACAGGGCACGGATAGATAACTTCATCGATGTGCTTCAGGTTACAATTTGAATAGGCAGTAGAGATATGTATAAAGGCTTCCAGCTTTGGCATCTGACTAGCCATAAGCAAGAGCTGCCGGGTGGCAGTGACGTTAAGTTGCACAGCATGTCTAGAGAAGATTAAGTAGAAGGAAATACAATGAGGTAAGTCAGCATCATGCCTTGCTATAACTGTACCTACTCCAATAACTGGCATACCTATCAGATTTTGGTGACTGCACCAAACACCAGGGAGAGAAGGATGGGTCATGGCTACACAGTTATGTGATACTCGGAATGTTTTATGTAGTGATGATGTGTTTTGTGCACATAAATGCTATTCACTGACACACTGTACATATATCTAGAGGACAGTTGGTTCTAATCAACTGAAAAAAGAATTACAATCCTCTGAATTTGTAAAGGTGCTTCTATAGGCAGCCATTAAAAGAACAAAAACATGTAAATTAAGCATCTAACTGAAGAAGTTGGAAAATATAAATAAACTTGAGGGAAGCAACAGTAGAATTTTTAAATGAGCAATGTAAGTTGGTAAAGGTCCAGGCCAGACATGAAAATTGATGTCAAAATCTAAAATTGCAGCTAGTAGAATACAAAGCTATATAAACAGTATGTGATAACAATGAAATAGTTCGTTCCAGGAATACATGGTTTATCCAATGCCAGGAAACTTACTAATTTAATTTAACTCAAAAGAGAAAAACTATATAAGAATATATATGTATTTTGAAAAGTTTAAAATGATGTTTAATTTCCATTTCCAATTTAATTAAACAAATTCACTAGAATAGGAATAAAATGATTAAGCAACATATATTTAAATTTGCTAGCCAATATCATTCTTAATGGTGAAAAGCTAGGAGCACTGCTTGTAACATCTGTGGTGGGAATAATGCCTACAATCACACTACTACTTAACATTGTTCTGAAGTCCTAGTCCTGTAATTAATTAGAAAGAAAAATAAAATTAAAGAACAGATACAGATACTAAAAAGACAGCCACAAAAATTACTGTCGGATTATATAATTGCATACCTGGAAAATAGAAGCAGCTTTTAAAAAAGCTGAAATGTACTATAATTCAGTAAGGTGTCCACTGACAAAAATTATGTAAAAAATCACTAGCTTGCCTGTATGTAAATAAAAATTAGAGAATAAAAGGGAAGAAATGTTCAAAGTTGAACATTTAAAATATATGAAATTCATCATAAATGAATATATAATAACAAAAAACAAATAACAAAAAATTGAATAAATGGGAAAACATATATTGTTTTTGGATAGGAAGAATCAATATTTTAAATATGCTAAATGTTTTTAAAGTATTCTACATATACGAGGTAATTCTAATCAAACTCCCAAGATTTTTAAAAACCTGGCAAAATTATCTTAAATTTAATCAAGAAGTATATGCAAAGAGAACAGTTATGAAAATTCTATAAAAATGAAAGTGTGGCTGGGTGCGGTAACTCACGCCTGTAATCCCAGCACTTTAGGAAGCTGAGGCAGGTGGATCACCTGAGGTCAGGAGTTCGAGACCAGCCTGGCCATGATTGTGAAATCCTGTCTCTACCAAAAATACAAAAATTATCTGGGCATGGTGGTGCATGCCTGTAGTCCCAGCTACAAGGGAGGCTGAGGCAAGAGAATCACTTGAACCCAGAAGGTGAAGGTTAAAGTGAGCCGAGATCATGCCACTGCACTCCACCTGGGCAACAGAGCGAGACTCCGTCTCAAAAAAAAAAAAAAAAAGAGTGCTGTGAGTATACTTACTCTAATATAATAAAAATTACAGTAATTAAAATGATACAGTACTGGAAGTGAAAGCCTGATTTAATGTAACAAAATACTTTAAAAACTGAAATTTAGTTTAAGAGCTTTATATCAGATAAAGAGTAAAAATATTTAACAAATATTGTTTAAAAGTAACCATATGGCACACAAAAAAAATAAAGCTGCTTTACTTTCACATCTGCATCACTCTTCTTACAGAATTTTCCTGTACTCCTCTTTCTAGGTAAATACTTTATAAATGGATCAAATATCTAAATGTGAAAATGAAACCATAAAAATACTAGGGGAAATTATAAATAACTGCATAAATAATAGACTTGAAAGACATTTGATAAATTGTTAAAATAGTTTGAGCCTTATAAAAGATGAAGAGTTTAACGGCCGGGCGCAGTGGCTCACGCCTGTAATACCAGCACTTGGGCGGCCAAAGCGGGTGGATTACCTGAGGTCAGGAGTTCGAGACCAGCCTGGCCAATATGCTGAAACCTCGTCTCTACTAAAAATACAAAAGTATTAGCCGGGCGTGGTGGCGGGCACCCATAATCCCAACTACTCAGGAGGCTGAGGCAGGAGAATCGCTTGAACCCAGGAGGCGGAGGTTGTAGTGAGCCAAGATCCTGCCATTGCACTCCAACCTGGGCAACAAGAGCGAAATTCTGTCTCAAAAAAAAAAAAAAAAATGCTGAAACTTTCAAGAAGTCTTAATAAGAAAAAAATGTTTCAATAGAAAAATAGGTGGGCCAGGCGCAGTGGCTCAGGGCCGGGCGCGGTGGCTCATGCCTGTAAAACCAGCACTTTGGGAGGCCAAGGCTGGCAGATCGCGAGGTCAGGAGATCAAGACCATCCTGGATACAATGGTGAAACATGGTCTCTACTAAAAATGCAAAAAATTAGCTGGGTGTGGCGGCGGGCACCTGTAGTCCCAGCTACGCAGGAGGCTGAGGTAGGAGAAAGGCGTGAACCTGGGAGGTGGAGCTTGCAGTGAACTGAGATCGTGCCACTGCACTCCAGCCTGGGCGACAGAGCAAGACGCGGTCTCAGAAAAAAAAAAAAAAAAGAAATGAAAAGAAAAATAGGCAAAGAAAGCAAAGAGCATGAATAGGCATTTCACAAAGAACAAAATGCCTATAAGCATTTAAATATCATTAGCGTTTGTAATCATAAAAGAAATACAAATCGGAATATGTGCTACCGTTTCCATTATCCTATTAGCAACATTAAAAATAATTTTAAAATTATAGTATTATTTTATGACTATAAAAATGAGCATTCTTGTGCACAGAGACAGTGTAAGCAGACACCACATTTTTGGAGAGCAATTTAGCATTATGTGTGAAAATGCAAACTGTTCATAACTTGGGTACATCTGATATGTATCTGATAATTATATTTCTAGGAATTTATCTCACGAAGAGCACACAAAGGGGTGAAAAATATACATGCATACAGATGTTCACTGCAGTGTTGTTTATAATAGTGAAAAATTAAAACAATCCAAATGTTCACCGACCTAGAACTGGTTTAATATATTATACATATGTTCAATGGAATGTCATGTAATCATTACAAATTATAATAGAATACTTATTGACAATGATAGATATCAAAAAATATAACTGAGCAGGTTGCAAAATATCATCCTCGCTAGGATGCCATTTTCTTCCAGTAAAATTGAACATACACCTATGTAATCATAGATACATAAAGAAAAATTGGAGTGAATGTTCTCCACAATAGTAAATGGTTGTTTCTAGATGGTGGGATTTTGGAGGAGTTTTGCTTCTTTGTATGTTTTTTGTTGTTGTTGAGAGTGTATTTCTTTTTTTTTTTTTTCTTTACAGAAACTATGAAGAAATTTACATGCACACAAATGTATACAAACCATGAGAGGGAAATGGGAATGTACCTGAGAGTGTCATCAAAGCGTACAGTGGCTGCACAGTGAAAGATTATGTTTGTACAGGAGAGAAGCTCCTGCATGTCCTCTTTGCTGATGGCAAAGTCATTCTGACTGAGATCTGCATAAATAGCTCTGATCTTCTCATGCACATTTGGACAAACTTCTTTGACTTTCTCAAATAGCTGAAACATAAATATAGATCAATATACAAAAAATAGCATCATCATTATTACATTGTTCTTGTTTACAACAACCTGTTTAATTATACTCAAAAACTGGTTTTAGTTGTAATAATATTACTTAAAGAAGACATCTGGCTGGGTGTGGTGGCTCATGCCTGTAATCTCAACACTCTGGGAAGCCAAAGTAGGAAGATCACTTGAGCCCAGGAGTTTGACACCAGCCTAGGCAACATGGTAAAAACCTGTCTCTACTAAGAATACAAAAAATTAGCCAGGCATGGTGGTGTGTGCCTATAGTCCCAGCTACTTGGGAGGCTGAGGTGGGAGGATCCCTTGATCCCAAGTGGTGGAGGCTGGAGTGAGCTGAGATCCGGCCACTGCACTCCAGCCTGGGCGACAGAGCGAGACTCCGTCTCAAAAAAAAAAAAAAAAAAAATTTTACTCAAGAACCATCTACTTTATTTCATACAATTCAGCCAGTTTAGTGTAATTCCTGCTACATTTCATGTGAGAAACGTTTGAAAAATCAGTTCCAATAATCAGTAAGGTGCGCATTTTGAACTTTTCCTGCAGGGTGAAAAAGTGAGAGTAAGTCATCCACATCCTGCCTTTATACTCTTTTCCCCTTTAAGCCAGCTTTATATTTACATATGGTAATAGTTTCCATTTTTGACTGAGAATAAGTGTTTCCAGTAAAAAATTACCAGCCTCTACAAAGCCTTTACAAATTACAAGCAAAATTACCAACAGCTTGGTTAACTGAACCAAATTAACAAAATATCTTAGCAACACAAACATAATTAGAAAATAACAAATAACAAATGAAGCAAATTTGTAATAGGTGAAACATATAAAAATGTTATGTAATCTCATTCTAATATAAATGGCAATTATTGTCTAGTAAGTACATGAGCTCATGTATTTTTTATGGGATATTAATTGATTTTTAAAATATTCTAATTTATTCATAATGGAGAAAAGGAAGAGCAGTGGCCATTTTAGCTCTAGTTACACTTACTCAGATAGAATAGATTCAGTACTTTCCCCTCCACACAGAAATTCTTAGATTAAATTGGCATTTCCCATGTTTTCAAGAAATATGATTTTAATAAAATGACCTTGGTTCCAACCTATTTTGATTAAATGGAATTTTACTTAGTGTTGGTGTGGCATATTAACAGTGAGAAAACAAAAAGTAAAGCTAAATGTTTAGAAAATTTAAGAGCAGAGAAAATTAGCCTGTGGTTTTAATCATAATATAGTAAAAGAGACAGTCCTCTTCTCTCCCTTAACCCCCGAACAGTATTTTCACCTATTTGTTGATCCTTAGTCACAGGATTAAGAGAGATCTATCCATTAGAGTTGTACCCCAGGCTGTTTTTATTGGGTAATAAAAAGTTGATCTCAGGTAGTCAGAGAAACCATGTCTCATTTGTATCAGACAAGAGCATGTTCAGAAGCCATTCTGAGGATTTAATGAAGATGTCTAGAAAAGGGATGAAATCCACATATTGATCTGTCACGTTAACATACTTCAGTTCTGTCTACCATTTTTCTGCACTGTAGGGGCAGCCTCTTCAGTGGTGTGTTACTGCAATTCTGAAAATAATTTGTAAGTTAGGTCAGTCCTCAGTGCTTTTGACATCTGGGATTGATAAGGTTGATAAAGTGTCCTGGGCACATTCTCAACAAAGAGGTCATTCTGACTCTTGCAGAAAGATCTTTAATAGTTTTTCTAATATTAATCAATCATAAACATGCTAAATGTTTTTTTCTAGAGTCAGATGTTTTCCCTCTTGATAGTTAACGTTAATTGTACAACAAACATGTTGAATAGTTTTGGATAAGCTTATCGAAAATTTGTATCATTTTCTCTTTTTTGATAACTAATTTGGAGAAGACTCTTTTTGAGTCTACATGATATATTTTATGTATTCTACATGATATTCACTAGAAATTTACTTAGGGTTCTGTGGATTCTTTCACTTTGGCCTGTGAAGACTTCTGACTACCGGAGAGCAAGATGGTTTCAGCATCCACCCTTCTCACAATGGAGTTCCTTACATATGATGTAAGTTGTCATATTTAGATTTCCTTTTGCCTTTGGTTTTTATGACTTTAAAAGACAGAATATACTGCTATTCCATATTATACTTTCAGACAACCTGTGCAATGTTGAACAGCACCAAGATCTCATATTTGCATTACTTTTCATGAGATCATTACAATTTTAGGAAATAATGTTCCAATCTGTGTTGTATCTATTGAATTGTATTTTCAATCAAGAATGCATATCTGAATGAACATAGTGCAGTTTTTTAAAAGTCTGAGTTTTCTGATTTAGATAGTAGTTGATAATGTTCCATTGAAATAAATCAATGAATTGGCTGCATCAATTCAAACCACAGTGCTAAATGAGGATTCCATTTTACTACATTAGCCTTGCTTAATAATAGGACTTGCCCTGTCAGGAATCTCACCATACCGCTATAGCTCCTGAAATAATACTCTTTAATAGTGCCACATCCTGAATAGAGTGACAGAGATGGCAGCCAACTGCAATCCAACAGGTCAGTGGTTTTGGTCATTTCATAACGCTATCCACAAAGTGAACTGCATTGGAATCACTAGTAGCATAATTAAAATGTATATTCCTGGGTCCTATCCCATATCCACTAAATAAGAAATTACTAGGGCACACCCAGGAATCTATATTTCACGCCAAGTCCCCCAATTGATTTTAAGACATACAAATGATGAGAATTTCTCCATTTAGAGTGCTAACATGGACAACGGCAGATGAATAACTGCATATGACTCATTTTCCTTTATAACTGCCCAGAGCAATCTTCACATCAGTAGCTTGCAAACTCTAGGCATGAAGAATCAAGGAACCTGGTTAAAAATTATTTCTTTATTCCATCCTCAGAGATCCTGGCTCGGTAGTTTTGTGTGTAACCCAGGAAACTATATTTCTTAACCACCTCCGCAGGTGGATCTGATGGTCCAGGTACCGTAATTGGGAAACACTGACTCTGAAAAATTCATGTCTGTTCTTAAATTCAGGGCTTATATTTCCCCCTCTAGTTTGTAAACTCCTCGATTCTTTTTTTTCTTTTGTAGGGAAACTCTTTCTAATTTTTTAAAATTTTTGTGGGTACATAGTAGGTGTATATATATATATGGGGTACATGAGATGTTTTTATACAGGTACACAATATGAAATAAGCACATCATGGAGAAGGGGGTATCTATCCCTTCAAGCATTTATCTTTGAATTACAAGCAATCCAATTATACTCTTTACATTATTTTAAAATGTACCATTATTATTGACTATAGTCACCCGATTGTGCTATCAAATAGTAGGTCTTATTAATTCTTCTATTTTTTGTCACCCTTTACCATTCTCATCTCTCCCCTCCCACTTGCCTTCCCAGCCTCTGGTAATCATCCTTCTACTTTTTATGTCCATGAGTTCAATTGTTATGATTTTTGTATCTGACAAATAAGTGAAAACATGCAATGGTTGTCTTTCTGTGCCTGGTTCATTTCACTTAGCCTAATGACCTCCAGTTCCATCCATGTTGTTGAATCCCATTCTTTTTGATAGCTGAGTAATACTCCATTGTGTATATGTACCACATTTTCTTTATCCATTCATCTGTTGATGGACACTTAGGTGGCTTCCAAATCTTAGCTATTGTGAGCAGTACTGTAACAAACATGGGAGTGCAGATATCTCTTTGATATACTGATTGCCTTTCTTTTGGGTATATACCTTGCAGTGGGACTGCTGGATCATACAGTATTTCTTTGTTTTTGTTTTTTGTTTTTTTTTCAGAGTCTCACTCTGTCACCCAGGCTGGAGGGCAGTGGCATGATCTTGGTTCACTCCAACCTTCACCTCTCAAGTTCAAGTGATTCTCTTGCCTCAGCCTCCTGAGTAGCTGGGATTACAAGCATGTACCAACATGCCTGGCTAATTTGTGTATTTTTAGTAGAGACAGGATTTCGCTACATTGGCCAGGCTGATCTTGAACTCCTGACCTCCAGTGATCCACCCACCTCAGCCTCCCAAAGTGCTGGGATTACAGGTGTGAACCACGGCCCCTGGCCCATCTGGTATTTCTACTGTTTTTTGAGGAACATGCAAAGTGTTCTCCGTAGTGGTTGTTCTAATTTACATTCCCACCAACAGCATATGAGGGTTCCTTTTTCTCCACATCATTGACAGCATTTGTTATTGCCTATCTTTTGGATATAGGCCATTTTAACTGGGGTGAAATAATATTTCATTGTAGTTTTGATTTGCATATCTCTGATGATCAGTGATGTTGAGCACCTTTTTATACGCCTGTTTGTCATTTGTATGTTTTCTTTTGAGATATGGTTATTCAAATATTTTGCTCATTTTTTGATCGGATTTTTATACTTTTTACTATATAGTTGTTTGAGCTCCTTATATATTCTGGTTATTAATCCTTTATCAGATAGGTTGTTTGCAAATATTTTCCCCATTCTGTGGCTTGTCTCTTCACTTTTTTAATTGTATCCTCTGCTGTGTAGCAGCTTTTTAACTTGATGTGATCCCATTTGTCCATTCTTGCTTTGGTAGCCTGTCCTTGTGGGGTATTGCTCAATAAATTTTTGCCCAGACCAATGTCCTGGAGATTTTCCTAAATGTTTTCTTGTAGTAGTTTCATAGTTTGAAGTCTTAGATTTAAGTCTTTAATCCACTTTGATTTGATTTTTGTGTATGGCGAGAGATAGGGGTCTAGTTTCATTCTACTGTATATGGATATCCAGTTTTCCCAACACCATTTACTGATGAGGCTGTCTTTAAGCCAGTATATGTTCTTGGCACCTTTGTCAGAAGAGTTCACTGTAGGAGTGTGGATTTGTTTCTGAGTTCTCTATTCTGTTCTATTGGTCTCTGTGTCTGTTTTTATGCCAGTAGCACATTATTTTGGTTACCATAGCTTTGTAGTAAAATTTGAAGTCAAGTAATGTGATTCCTCCAGTTTTATTCTTTTTTGCTCAGGTTAGCTTTGGCTATTCTCAGTCTTTTGTGGTTCCATATAAATTTTAGGATTGTTTTTTCTATTTCTATGAATAATGTTATTGATATTTTGATAAGGATTACATTGAATCTGTATATTGCTTTGGGTGATAGTATGGACATTTTAACAATATCGATTCTTCTAATCCATGAACATGGAATACTTTTCTAGTTTTTGGTGTCCTCTTCAATTTCATTCATCAGTGTTTTATAGTTTTCATTATAGAGATCTTTCACTTCTCTGGTCAAGTTAATTCCTAAGTATTTAATTTTATGTGTGGCTATTTTAAAGGGTATTACTTTTTTTAAAAATTCCTTTGTAAACTCCTTGATTCTTATTCATCTCTTTATGCTTGACAGTATGCCATTCATTGAAAAGACTCAAATTTTGCTTATTGAATTAAAATTAATTCCTGTAAGATCAGTAACAGAACTGTTACAATAGAATGGAAGCCTGATTCCTGAAGTTTGTATGACTGTGATGAGAGATAGCCGATAGCGACTCCTAAACGAGAACACAAAGTGTTTCCTGAGTCCTCTATATTAACTGCCAATGGGAGTTTGAAGTAATGTGATTTCTCCAGTTTTTAGAGCAGACCCTCTATTTTTATAATAATGACAAGACTGAAGGGACAAGATGAAATGGTGCAAATGGATCCTGGATAAGCACCAGCTCTTCTAAAAAAATTTTTTTGGTGTGTTTGTTGCTAATGTAAGATATTAAAGTAAGAAAAATAGATAAAATCAAAATGAGCAAAGAAAAAACATAGTGTCAGAAATTTCATTGAAAGCCACCAATAAAGAACAATACAATTATTTTAAATTCTAAGAGCTTATCCTGTTTCTTCTCATTGCATAAACTCATATTCTCTACTTGATGGCACAAGACCGAGAGGTAGATAGTTGAAAAGCTGCTCACCATCATCAAAACTCAAGCAGAGGGATTGCTGTCTATCCATTTTAGGAAACCTTGTTCTTTACAAGAGTAGGACACATTTCTGTGGTCACTGAAAGATACAGCTGAAAGGCGATCTAAGCATTTCAAACTGGAAACTTTGGGAGCGTTTCATTGATTTAACATTACACAGGCAAGTATTTCTCTCCTTAATTTGTTTTTAAATATGAGACACTATTCTAATTATATGAATAGTTACTTGTAGCCCAGAGGCAAGAGAGAAACTGCAAACTCTAAGTAAGAAAATTCAGCTGAAAGAGAAAACCAGAAAAAAAAAATTCTCTGGTTTAAATAAACTCCTTGGGTATGACTTCTGTAGTCAAGACACCAGGACTGCATTTTTATTAGAAGTAGGAATTGGGATGGGGGCATTAAATTTATATAATGCTTTTGAAACAATTCAGAGGCCTTTAACATGGTCTCTCACAATCAACTAGTTAGCCACACGACCTCATTTTGGAAATATCCACAGGAGATTTGACCTCTACTTCCCAGGGCTCATTGAAGGAAATCAAATATTTTCTAATCATGAGAATCTTTGATCTTTATTCATTTTACTGTCTTTCTCTTCAAAAATAGCTATATTATTTAGTCCCAATAACCCACCAATATTTGCTTAATTTTTTTTGGAAAATAAATGAGTAAGTTTGCTTAAACTAAGGGGCAATCTCTATGGAATATTTGGTGTCCCAAGTGAAAGAGACACTAACATTTTTAAGAGAATTTTTACAGTGCTGAGTAAAAACAAATCAATGAATTCTGCAAATTAGCTCTAAGTTGAAAACAATTAAACACAAAAAAGTACCTTAATTTAAGCACAAACCGTTATATCCAGTGTACAGATTAACAAAAATTCACAAAATGTTAAAATTGTTGCTAGTTCACTAGTAACTCTCATAAGATGTGAAGGATTAATCCAGAAGTTTCTAATGCTTTAGCAAGGACATTTCTATAACTCCATAAGGCAGCATGGTGTAGTAGTATGGCTGTTAGGATTGCCCAGGAAGTTGCTCAAACAAACAAACCTATGTCCTGACCCTGAAGATTCTCATTCA